AGGGAATGGCTACGGCCCAGCGGGGGTGCTGTAAGAATCAGGGTACTTCCCCACGCAGGATAAGCTGTGAGGCTCAGAAGTCCAGTATCTCACTTCTTGCTCCTTTTGGGCAGTGGGATATCACAGTGATGAGAGCAGGTGGAACTAAGAGGCAAAGAGCTGAGATGTTAATTCGGGGTGGGGTGGGGTGAGGGCGCAGGTCTTGGCAGAGCCCCCTGTGCTCCGTCAGATCTAGCAGAATCTCCCCACTACTGGGGCGGGGGGTAGGGGGGACGCTCTGTGATCCAGGTTTTTACTGGAGTCAGGGTAAGCTCCATCCTCACTTTGGTCACCTGGTGCCACTGGGCTCGGCTGCCCGGTGTGGGGGACCTGCGGCCGGAAACTATTGAATGATGTGAAGTAGGATGTGCTTCCACACACTTCACTGGGGTGAGCCAGTGAGAGCTTCAGGGGAGGGAGGGGGGCATTTAAAACTGGGGAAACTGGAGAGGAAGTGAAGTAGAAATGGGGGGGGGAAGCAGAGGGAACAGAAAGAAAACAATCATATATATAATCAGTATTCTGGAGAATGAAAAACACAGTGTCTGGGAAAAGGCCCAAGAAACAAGAGGAAAAATGCAGGAGGCAGACCTCTTAGGTAGGGCCACCGGCTTCGCTGGAACATAGAACCCAAACATCTTCTTACTGTATTCTATTCTTGAATAAAGTTTTAACTTCGTCATTCTTAGTTTTCTTAAAGCAGATGAATGGCTCAGCCTCTCTCAAAGTGCCTGGATCTTCATACCGTTTTATTTCCAACGAGCATTAGAACTGTTTTACAAGCCGCACGAGTAACGCCTCTTGTGGTCAGGGCGTTGGACACCTCTGCTGATAAGGCAGCGAGCAGCCCTCCTGGTTTGGGAGATGAGCCGCCCAGCTGAGCATTTGTGGGTGGGAGTGAGGAGGGGATGGGGCACAGTGGTGGAATTCAAGAAGCCCGGGCTGTCATACTTCCGCTGCTGGCTGGTTGCCCTTCGGGAAGCCCCCTTCTCTCTCTGGGCCTCAGCTTCCCCATCTGTCAAAAGAGTCTGAGTGAACAATCTAAAGACTACGGATCTAAAGTGTGTTTGTTTGTTAATCATTACCCGAGGATATTTTTCCAATCATTTTTTTTAGAGAGAGTGGAAAGGAGGGGGAGAGACGGAGAGAGAGAAACATCTGTATAAGAGAGACACATGGATTGGTTGCCTCCCACACGAGCCTGGACTGGGACCAGGGATTGAGCCTGAAACTGAGGTTATGTGCCCTTGACCAGAATCAAACTGAAGACCCTTCGGTCTATGGCCTGACTAAGCCAAACCAGCTAGGGCTAAAGTTGTTTTTTAATGTCTGTGAGTCTTAAAAATAATAGTAATAGCTAAAACTTATTGAGTATTTGCTACTACTAATAAAAATAGTTAACATCTAGCCCTGGCCAGTGTGGCTCAGTGGTTGAAGTGGCGGCCTGAGCACCAAAGGTTTGATTCCCAGTCAAGGCTGTGAGCCTGGGTTGCAGGTTCAGTCTCCGGCCCCATCAGGGTGAGTGTAGCAGGCAACCAATTGATGTGTGTCTCTCATGCGTTGATGCTTCTTTCTCTCTCTCTCTCTCTCTCCCCCCTTTTTCTCCCTCCCCCTCTTTCTCCCTCCTTCTCTCTCTTCTACTCTTTCTAAAAATCAATGGAAAAAATATCCTTGGGTAAGGATTAACAACAACAAAGTTAACATCTATTGAGTGCTTAATATATTCATACGAATAATAGTTAACATTTACTGGGCACTTATTATAAGCCAGGCAGTATTTAAAGCATTTTACATGAACTAACTAACTCATTTGAACCTTATGTCTAGGAGGTAGGTACTGTACTTATCCCCCTTTGCAGATGGGGAAATAGAGACCCAGAGAGGGGGGGTGACATACTGCAAGTCACTCAGCCAGGAGGTGATGGGGCAGGAGAGTGACCTCCGGCTCCTGAGTCCTGGCCGTTTTTGCCATCAGGCTGTGCTGCCATTCTGTCCCTGTCATTCCGCCTCCTTCGAGAACGGGAGCAGGTGTAATACTACGGATATTTACAGCAATATTGGTAGCAATAATAATAACAGAAACAGCGATGCATTGGTCCTTAATTATGCAGTCCTGTGCTAAATACTTTATTCCGCCTAAAATTACATTGCCCCGAGAGGACTCAAGGCCCTGCTGACCCACCCACCACTGTCCCTTCAAATTCATTGTCTCTCCTCACCCTCCAAACGGCAAACGGCAAACTGGCCTCCTTCTGGTCCTCTGGTTTGGGACACTTTCCTTCCTTCTCCTGCATGTCCGTTCCCTGCAGTTGCCCGACTGAACCCACGGCCCCAGCTTAGTCTACAGTCGGCACTTAGTAAACACTGAAGGAAGAATGAGTGACCGCATAAGAGAAAGCCCTACATTTAGCAGGAATGACTTGGAAAAATGGTTTCAGGGGGCTGTGGTGGAGATAGGTGGAGACCTAATGATATACTGATGTGTGTGGGGGGGACTGTGGACATTTAGGAAGTGGGAAGCAGGTACACTAATATCTTACTATGTAGCCCTAGCCGGTTTGGCTCAGTGGATAGAGCATTGGCCTGCGGACTGAAGGTTCCCAGGTTCGATTCCGGTCAAGGGCACATGCCGGGGTTGCGGGCTCCATCCTCAGTAGGGGGCCTGAGGGAGGCAGCCGATCAATGATTCTCTCATCATTCATGTTTCTATCTCGCTCTCCCTCTCCCTCTCCCTTCCTCTCTGAAATCAATAAAGAAATATATTTAAAAAAAAAATCTTACGATGTGCAGGGCAGTCCCACCTGGGGAAGAACTAGGCCGCCTCCTTCACGACGTTCATATGTCCCTCACACAGGTGAAACTCTGCTTGCAATGACCGGTGCCTTTAGTTTTAGCCTGACTGTGTTTCTATAGAGCATAACGTATTTCTGCATGTTTTATACGTCGCATTTTCCCTGAATGCAACTACTGGGCACATTAGGGAAGGCTAGACTCTGAGGAGCTTCACTCTGAGCTGCCAATCGTAGCAGACACTGGCCCGAAGGCCCTCAGTTTGGAACATCCCACACCGATGGCAGTGCTCTGTGTTGTGTAAGTTGTCTGCACAACCCCGTCAGCCGGCATTTGTGCCTGTAACATTCCTGGTGACTTGGCGCACAGTTGCCTGCCTCAGAGTCACGTCACTCTGTCCCCTAGACCAGCGGTCGCCAACCAGTGGGCCGCGGACACTGGTGGTCCGCGAGGTCCTAAAGGTTGGCAACCGCTGCTCTAAACCAGTGATGGCGAACCTATGACACGCGTGTCAGAGGTGACAGGCGAACTCATTTTTTGGGTTGATTTTTCTTTGTTAAATGGCATTTAAATATATAAAATAAATATCAAAAATATAAGTCTTTGTTTTACTATGGTTGCAAATATCAAAAAATTTCTATATGTGACACGGCACCAGAGTTAAGTTAGGGTTTTTCAAAATGCTGACACGCCAAGCTCAAAAGGTTCGCCATCACTGCTCTAACTCTTTTACTTAAGTGTGGTCCCCGGGCCTGGGAGCTCTTTGGAAATGCAGACTTCCAGGTTGCACTTGAAACCTGCCGAATTAGGACCTATGTTTTAGCCAGATCCTTGGGGATCCGTGCACACACCCGATTTGGAGAAGTGTTGGCCTGCTGTGTATGTCTTGTAACAGACCTGCTTCAACGCAACTTTAAAAAATCAATATGACAGCCCTGACCGGTTTGGCTCAGTGGCTAGAGCGTAGGCCTGTGGACTGAAGAGTCCCAGGTTCGATTTCGGTCAAGGGCATGTACCTTGGTTGCGGGCACATCCCCAGTGGGGGGTGTGCAGGAGGCAGCTGATCGATGTTTCTCTCTCATCGATGTTTCTGACTCTCTGTCCCTCTCCCTTCCTCTCTGTAAAAAATCAATAAAATATGTATATTAAAAAAAATCAATATGATGGCCCTGACCGGTTTGGCTCAGTGGATAGAGCGTCGGCCTGGGAACTGAAAGGTCCCAGGTTCGATTCCGGCCAAGGGCATGTACCTTGGTTGCGGGCACATCCCCAGTGGCGGGTGTGCAGGAGGCAGCTGATCGATGTTTCTCTCTCATCGATGTTTCTGACTCTCTGTCCCACTCCCTTCCTCTCTGTAAAAAATCAATAAAATATATTAAAAAAAATCAATATGACACCATAATAGTGATATCAAAGAAGACTTACAGGACATTAATTAATAAGAGAACAATGTCTGTTTCACCATGTATGCTGTTGGGCTGCCAGGTGTAGAATCCCTATAGACCTTCTAAGGAGCGTTACAAACACTGTCATGAAAAAGAGGCTGCTGTTTCTGACTGGGTCAAGTGCTGGCCTGGGAGATGCTTTCAAAAGCCTTGAGCCCTGCCCCCCTTCAGTGATGAGGGCCCAGAGTGGCTTTTCAAATCCCCCCAGGAACAGCGCCAGGTAAAAAGACGGCTGGCTCAGTAACAGCTAACGTGGACCAAGCATGGCATCAGCTGCACGTTCCGCCCTGTGCATGTATCACCTCATTTAATTCCAGCAATGACCCACTGTGCCACTGCAGGTCTCACTGTGCCATTTTACAGATTGAGAAAACTGAGGCCCAGACTTGCGAAGTCACTTATCCAAGGTCACACAGCAAGCACAAGGAAGAGCCCTGTAACTCAGGGAGAGTTTTTGTGGTTTCCATGAGATGCATGAGGGCATGAGGATCTGCCTGCAGCCTCTGGCGTCAGATGGCCTGGGTTCAAGGGCACTTATTAGATGTGTGACCTTGGGCAAGTCGCTCCACCTCTGTTTCCCCCTCTGTGAATTGGGGTGATGACGATGGGCTCGAGCTCAGGGGATGGCTGAGAAGACTGAGTTGCTGAGAGGAGTGCCAGGCACACAGCAGACTGTTATTATTACTACTGTTGTCACTGACCATTTCTCAGGTGGCTTCTACTTACTTCCTCCGCCGGTGCCTGCGCTCCTTGTCCTCCCTCCGCGTGTCCATGTCATACGTGGCTGGAGGGCCATGCCGGTGCCGCCGCCTCCGCTCGCCGCCAT